GTCCCTTCAGGGCAAAGGTCTGGATCTATTGTTCCACTGGGGCTCTGTGAATGAGTTTCTTCTGCTTTCCAACACTTAGTCCTTTCAGTGCTGTCACTTGAGAAACAATAGAAGTGTGCCTTATTGAGCACCACATAAGCTAAAATATACATCATCTTTTAAGATTTTAATGATTAACTTTGAAACAATTATTAAAACGTGTGAATCTGATGATTTTACCAGAAAAGTTAAGACACTGCATATTTGACCTTTAAGTTTAAAGATTTGACTTCCAACTGAACAAATTGAAATAACATTGATGGCCCTTCTCATTACAAATGTTGGCTTTTCACTGAATGTGCATTTTTTGGATAAACAATTATAATAAGGTTCTAAAGGTTTGAAGTATTTGTCTACAACAAATGGAGACAAAGATAGAGACACATGAGAGAAAATGAAGAACATGCAGTGCTCAACAAATGTATTGAACCGCCTGTTATAAAACAATAAAACAGACATCTTAGAGATCTGTCAAAAACTTGTTAGAAACTAGAAATTACATTATAAATATGAGCCGGCGCACTGGGTGCCTCTGAGAAGTCAGAAGTTAATTGAGCATTACAATCAATCACTAAAACTTTTTTTTTCTGTTCTGGAATCCAAGTAATTGTAATTTAGTATCATAAGCAAAAATAATAATGTGCTTTACTTTTTTTTTTAACTTTTTGTAAAAAAAAAAAAATGTATTGATAACAATTATATTTTAGCATTAAAAATATAATTTTAAATAATGAGTTTGAGCATACTGGTAACAATAACAATAACACAATTACCAATTCTGTTCATTTATAGCAGCTGTTCCACCAAATGTAAACCTTGGGTGCCCCAAAAAGACGTTACATGGACTTCTTCATTCTGAAAACGCTACGTCCAGATAAACAGGATCGGATTTTTGGGATTTCATTAGCTTGATGATTGAGCATGCGTCAATGCACTTACACTGGGTGGTGTTCTAATAAATTTGTTAGTCACTGTCTGACTAGCATCAATGTAAAAAGATAACAGATCAACTGCATAAAAATTATATGCAAGCACAATGTTTTACACTGGCAGTGTTTATTTATTCAACAAGGACGAAAGCTCAAACAGGTGGTGATGATACATCACAACAACAACTTGTAGATTTCTACAAGACACACTGTACTCAGAAAGAGTAGAGGAAAAGCTGTCTTTATGAAAGACAATGGATTTACAATATTCAAAAACCCAGTACTCAGTGACATTTGATTTCTTTTTCCACTTTCACTAAACAGCAAATGACCTTAAAATACATTGTTATTAACTGCTAAATTCAATTTTTTCTCACAAAGTAAATATTACTTTGTCTTCTCAAACCTGACATTAACAAAAACAGTAATGTTTTCAGTAAAACAATAAACATATTGATCTTAAAACAGATCAGTTTTAGTAATGACATACATTGAGATACACGTCATCTAAATGTCCGCATAGAACAATTAAGATATTAAACTGATCAATAATGATCATGAAGTACCAATATCACTGTCAAGTTTTTACCGACTAAGAAAATTGTGATATTAAGAAAACCTTTTAGAAAGAAGCTGTAAACACTTAGATCTTATAACAAATTCAACCTTGAATTTAGATTAATGTTAAACTGATCAGAAACAGTCAAGAGGTACAAACATCACAATTACACGACTTGCCCACATTGAGTCGTATAGTTGGAAAATCTTCATGAAAGAAATACTAAACATTTGGATCTTATAACAGATCAATTTTGTGTGATTAATATCTACAATCACAATAAATCCTTAAAATGGACACTTAAAATTTAGATCCAAAAAATCGAAAACCAATAAAAGGTAACGTCAGTGTCAATTGAAGAAAATCAATAATAGTAAAAAGCATTACTATAACATCATCAGTACATGAAGTACAGAAAGAAACAATTAAAATTGCTGATGCAATCAGGTTCAATTCATGCAATATGCATGACATGAAATTTTCTTTCTCAACATGAAAGATATTACTACTACACTTTCCTTAGGAAATATCATCTGACACACACACACACACACACACACACACACACA